CCTCAGGGTCTCTGTCCCATCTTCTTCAGGGTTCGATTAAGCTAGAAGAAAAAGAAGCAAAGCTAGATCAAGGGTTTTCCCCACCCATTCCACAGCATGCCCACCCGACAGGGCAGGCTCCCAGCTGTCCCTGGAGGCCAGAAGAGGCATCTTGGGATGGGCGTCCACACGTGTGGAAAGCCCCAATGCCCATGAGGCCTTGCACACTCAACAAACCAAAAGCCCTACCGGCTCTGCCTATTTCCTGGACAGGAAAGGGGCTGGGACAGGACAGCTCAGTTGAGCTTCAGAGCTCTCCTTTCCCATGGACAGGATCCAGGCAGGAAGCCAGCTCCAGCCTACTGCCCTACGTGTGTGACCCAGACAGCGGGAAGGTGAAGAGCACTGGGCCCTCTCAGGATCCTGCAGGAGGGCCAGGCCCTGCTGGACACTCGGCACTCCAGGATGCAGTGGTTCCAGCAGTGGCCACAACATGAGACCTCACACCCTGTGCTGTTTGGCCTGACCCAGAAGACCCATCCTAGGGCAAGACACAGAATGCATGCAGTGTGTCAGGACGGAGCATCCTGTCCTCCAGCCTCAGGAACTGGCCAGACCTGTCTCAGCTGCAGAACACCACCAAGAGGGAAGGGAGGAGGGCGGGTAGGAACAGGCAGCAAACCCACCCATATTAGGAAATACCAGGGAGGGCGAGGAGAGCGGCCACCCGCAGAGGGAGATCTTGGAAAGAGATGCAGAGAGGGCTGAGGCAGCAGTCTTAGGGGCCCACCCTGCTCGCTCCCCAGCCCCAGCAGCCAGCCAGGCAGTTCTGACACTTAAAGGGCCAATCTCAGGCTTTCTTGAAAACAGACCCAAAAAATAAAAATTTAAAAGCTCCCACCCACTTCCTAGAGTCTGTTCCCAGCCAACAATCCTCTCTCTGACCTCTCACCTCTTCAAATTTGTGTATCTGACGAATGAAGAAATCCCCATAGCGCCTGGCGACCTTGGTGTCTGCAATGTGGATCATGTCCTGTGGGAAAGGACAGGCAGAGAGCGTAAGTGGAGAGGGCTCACCCAGAACAGGAGCCACCTGCACACAGGGACAAGGCTAAGCTACATCAAACCCTGTGCTACTTTTCAAAAGCAAAGGGCGTGTGTGTGTCTGCACACGCACGGGCAGGGCGGGCATGGCGGTCCTGGAGGAGCATGACCAGTCAGCTGCAAGAAGAGGAAAAACATGCAATTAAAAAAAATTTTGATGAGGGGCCTTGAAACCAGGGACACAGTCAGTATTAATGTAACTGAAAATAGTGGCAGAGCAACATTTTACCTACAATAGCCACACTGCTAATTCCTGCAGAAGTACCTTATTAGATCATCTGGGTGACCGGAACTAGTTAGGCGGGGCCCCTGAGATGACAAGGGATGTAGCAGGTAGGATAGTGCCAAAGGTGGACATTTCAGGTGCTGAGGAAAGGACGGAAGGCATTTGACAGCACAGCACAGGGGAGAGAGAGTTGTTTTTGTTATTAAAAGCATGATTAAAAACAACATTGAAAAATTCCACTACTGATGTGTTTACTTTTGGAGCGTCTGCTCATGTCAGGTTTAGTTAAGTTCTGCCAAAAACCAAGTTGTCCAAAAGCCATAAAATCTAAATGAAATTTACTTAGTTTAGAGCAATATGAGCTT